CCTACTTGCTATGAGAAACAGGTGCATCTGAAAAAAGCAGAACACACGGGAAAAATAGGCAACTCCTTGGCAAAGTGTCCATGGTTCCCTTTTCTCAGGATTCCACAGAAGCAAGCTGATAACTGTTTTGATTCCCCGTCATGCGCCACTATCAATTTATCACCGAAACAAATTGTAGGGGCGAAGTAAAATCGTGGACCAGCTAGAGAGCAAGCTACTAGCTAAGACTGTCAGCTCAAGAGTTAAATTTATTGAAGCAATAGGCCAAAATGGAAGCAAATGCTTGGCCAGGGTGACGCAAATATGTGGAACGGGCAACTGGTACTATCAAAAGCTAACATGGGACACCCACACTGACTGTTCAGAGGTTTTGACATTCTTGGCACCACTGGCTGAAGAATGCTGGATTTGAGAAGCACCTCATACAGTAGCATCATTAAAATGGGATACCCACACTTATTGCCCGGATAGTTTTGATATTCTGGTTGATAAAAAATAAATTAATCATGCAAACTGCAAAATGGTTCTTTGAAACGTACAATATCGTGTAAGAAATTAGCTAGCCAGTATATAACAGGCGTCAGGCCGGAGATCATCTGCAAATGCTTGCTCAAAGATTCTCGTTCTTCGACCAGCTGCATACAGAAACTGGCAGTAATAAGTGATCCAGCCAGAAGCAACAAGACTATCCGAAAAGTTATCAGTCTCACCCTGTAATTCAATAAAATGCTGCATAACATCATAAGTTTAATGATTTCAGTTTTTTCTGTGATCAGTTCCCGGCTGCTTGGGGAAGAAAAACTAAAATTACACAGTTATATTATTTTTCGGATTAGATATAATCCATAGACCTGTTCTATAGCTGGCAGCAACTTCCTCATTTGATTTGACTAATAATAAATTAGTGTGCTGACCTTTGCGACGATAGTTTCGTTTCTTTTAAGGATTATCAGTTCAACGACTGTAGCAAGACTTTAGCCGTTTCGAAATCTCATTGATACATGGTGAGCAACACCGCCCTCCCAAACTTTGCAATCCTTGGACCAGATACCTTACCGAGTTGAGGTGCGGATAAGAGAAAAATAAATAGCAGGGCGCACCAGAATAGCCGGTACGATCATGCGTTTTATGCACTTCCGTCCATCGAACGATGATTTTCACTGCTATATACTTTAGTCTGTGCAAAAGTAGTTGAAACGCTGAAAAATAGTTAAAAATTTCACGAACCGGCATGTGAAAGCTGAATTTGAAGCATCGAAGGGTGAATGTCCGCGCAGAATTTCAATTTCCTAATTTTCTGGCTTTCGAATGATCTTTGAGACAGAATTTTCAATTGGTCGTACACGAGACCCTGTCACACTTAGGAACTGAATTCGAGTTTGCAAAGCCCCTGCTTAGGCAGGAAACATCATCCTAAAATTTTCAGCCTCCTAGAACTTCTGGCTCCCGAGATAATGACTTTTCTCACCAAAACTTTCATGGGGACGTTGAAAGTTTGCGGAGTTGTACGTGGGCAGGGGATGCCACATTAAAATTTCAGCCCTCGATTCAGTGGTCCCTGAGATAATGATTTACCTGCAAAAGTTTTCAAAGGGCCGTATATGATACCCGAAAGCGCGGGGACGCTGAATTTGAATTTGTAAGGCCGTGCGTGAGCAGGAGTCATTACCCCAAAATTTCAGCCTTCTAGCTTCCGTGGTTCCTGTGATAATAATTTCACCCGCCAAACTTTTACGGGGCCTTATGCGCTACCGTACGTACGGGAGGACTGAATTTAAATTTGCTGGGTCATGCGTGGGTAGAGAATATTCCCCTAAATTCCCAGCGTCCTAGCTTTTGTGATTCCTGAGTTCAAAGTTGCGGGCAAATTGCTACGGACACATACACACACATACATACATGCACACAAACACACAGACAACTCCGTGACAATATGCGTTTTGTTCTGCTTTTACACAGCATAAAAAGCATAAAAATGATGAAGGTTTACATGGGAACATTTCCGGCGTAGGATGATAAGGAATAGTTCATCGGATGTGTATAGGTGAGAAGGCCAACAGTTTCTGGCTTTTCAAAGCTTTGCGCCCGTAAAATTGCGTTGTGATAGGCACTGGTCAGGATAGGCAGCGAATTCCATAGCTTGTTATTGAACCAAACCTTCAAAGATAAGTCATAGGAGACGGACAGCTGCGCAGCGAAACAGATGCTCCAACATCGGTAGGTAAAGCAGCGTAAAGTAGTACCTTACTGTTTTCGCCTCTATCCAAGTTTACGATCAGTAAAGTGATCAGGTCACTGAAAGTCTTATTTTTTGGGTTGAATGGATCCTGGACAAAGCTAATATTGACCAAGGCATCTTGCCAATCCACGTGCCAGGCTGTGAAAGCTTCATCCAACCATTCACCTTCAATAAAGAAAACTGTACATTTCAACAAATTGGCAGTGGAAAAATGAAAACCAAAGAAGCATCAAACTGTTTACCGACTAGCTAGCGAGCAAAACCAGCAGCACAATCTCT